GAGAAAGGGAAAGCAAGAAGGCAAGCCAGCAGGTCCGGGACTCAAACCACAGTCGGCCATGTGGGAGTCCAGTGCCTTTACTCACCATCCCACCTGCTGACCCCCTTGCCATAGTACTTTTTGTAGTGCCAAATAGTTGGCTATAATTTGGATGTCTGATAACGAAGTATTAGATTACACAAACTGTGTTGTCTGATAGATTACTAGGAGACAACTAAAAATACGGTCGTGGGGCCAGCAGGCGGTGCCGTGGTTAAATAGTGGATCCCATATGGCTGATTTTGTGATCCTGAACCTCGAGGCTTGGAAAAAAAAAAAAAAAAAAGCGCTGGTTATGTGCATGCACGCTCAAAATCCTAAGAAGAGAATGGAGGAGAAGGGATTGCAGTGTGGCCATCCTTCTGGGGGATGATTTCTCACTTTTTGTCTTTTTCTTTTTCCTCTTTGTCTCTCTCCAGTGAGTGCACATGCCCTGGAGTAAAATTTTTTTAAAAATTTAGAATTATTTTATTTAACTTTATTTATTATTATTTCTTTTAATTTGACCAGAGGAAGACAGAGACAGAGAGAGACAGCAAGCTGCCAGGTCCTAGACGCGAACTGCAGTCAGCCATGTGAGAGCCCAGCATCCTTAACCACCACGCCATCTGCTGGCCCCAATAAATAAAAATTAAAAAAAAAAGTAAAATAGTATGATGCATAATAGCTGGAAGTATATACGGGCCCAGCTGCAATGGTGTAGGTGGTAGGATGTTGCTGTGTGATACTGGAGCAGGTGGGAGGCCTGGGTTTAGAACCCCAGTCGACCTGAACAAGCTGAGTGCACCTGCAAGTGCCTGTGATCCTGGCTGGCTGGGAGAGCAGGGGGAGGATCCCAGCATGGTGAGATCTTGTCAGGGGTACTTGCCTCACTCCTTCATTCATTCATAAATAAATAAATAGATGACAGAGAGATAGAGGGGCTAGCGAAATTCATGGTGGTTGGGGCACTGGATTCCCACATGGTCCACAGGTTCAAGTCCTGGACCTGGTGGCTTGCTTTCTCATTTTCTCTCTCTCTCTCTCTCTCTCTGGTGAGCACACATGTCCTATAGCAAATTAAAAGAAAATAATAATAAATAAAATAAAATTTAAAAAAATTTAAAAATGTTACTTTAAAAAATACATAGACATTATATACATGCAGCATAGGTACTGGACAACGGCATGAAAGAAATATTTCAAAATAAATCTGTCCGTAGATTATCTCTGTAGTGGAATTATACATGAATGTTTTTCTTTCCTTTTTGCTTGTCAGTGTACCCTGTAACTGAGTGTACTATGCTCCCTTATTCCCCAGGAAGGGTATTACTTCTTTGAGAAACAAACTAGCAGGCTGGCCCTGTAGCCTAATCAGCCTAGTTAAAGGAGCTGAATTCTACAAGGCTGATGTGGTTCCAGTTGTGGCCCCAGCGACTTTAAGAACACGCTGGTGGGTATGTGTGCATGCCCCAAACCCTGACAGGATGGAGAAAGGGAGACAGGATTGTGGTGTGACTTTGCCCCATTGCGGGGTGCTTTCCGTCTCTCTCCGTCTCTCTCCAGCAAGGCGCATGCACTCCGGTAATTAAGTAGACAAACAAGCAAACACCTGCAGTGTGTCTCCTCCTATTACAAGATTATGCATGAGTGTGCACAGGCATGCACACACACATCATATCCACACGTGTGCGTAAACACACACACACACACACATTTGCTCTCCAGAACTCTTGGGAGGGTATGGTCAGGAGGAGGGGTTGCTTTCACCTAGCCCACTAATCTCACCTCCTAAGGACCAGGTCTCAGAGACGACTGGAGAATTTCTGCAGGTTGTGGGGCAGGGTTGCGGGGTAGAGGGGCGCAGCTGCCAAAGGTGCTGAGCTGTGTGTGAAGTCTGAGTGAGACAGACACCAGGGAGTGGTTCACTCCTTTCCTGTCCTGAATGGCATGGGTCCCCTAGGGTCAAGGGTCAAAATGGAAGCCTTGGGTCCAGCAGATGACATAATGGTTATGTCTCTGGACTCCCATATAATCTACCATAGTTTGAGTCCCGGACCCAGCGTCTTGAAACTCACGCCGGGTGTGTGTCCACGTGCGCCCAAAATCCAGAGAGGAGAATGGAGAAGGGATTGCGGTGTGGCCATCGGCCCTGGGGGGAGATTTCTCACCTTCTGTCTCACTGGCTAATGCACGTGTCTTACAACAAGAGGGTGGCAGACTAGAGTTCAAAGGCACCGGTTTATGGCAGCTAATAAACTCCAGGTGGACTCCATGCCCCTGGGGTGGAGTGTGGACAGGAAGGGCACAGGAGCCCATGGGGCCTTCTCTAAGCGGGAGTCCTGCTGAGGAGAACACCCCTCTATGGGTGCCAGTGTTCCTGGAGGGGCCCCAGGTCTGAATCCCTGGCCCTGCATCCCTGGGTTTGGAGCTCCTGGAATTCAGGAGTTCTACACCTTCTCCCCTATGAACTATTCCCCCATGAAAGGAGTAGGGACAGTCAAGCCTCCTCTTGGTTGACGGGAGGAAGAGTCCAGGTGTCCACTCCCACTGCTGTCACAGGCTTGGCGAAGCTGCGGGTCCTCTCTGCTCACCACATCCCTGTGCAGCTCAGAACAGCACCACTGAGTCCGAGAGTACCAGCCATGCCGGGATAGTACTGTTCGCCTGAGCTCACGGCCCGGGCCACCCATCCCTGGTGCTTGCCAGGAGCCAAGGGTGGGGCTCGTCAGTTCCTGCTGTCAGGCTGTCGCTGGGCTCTGGGCTCCCAGGGACCAGGCAGGCACCTGCCTCCCCACCCCCTTGCCCTTTCTCTCTCTCTGGGGCCCTATCTTCCCTTATATGGTGAAGGCAGTTCCTAGAGGGGGGGTGGGGACAAAGGTCGCTCTCCTGCAGCCAGCTTGCCACAACTCCCTGAGATCTCCCAGGTGGCAGCCGCCTCCTCCAGACAGGTAAGGCAACCTGGTGGGGACATAGGAGCAGGGGTGGTGGGAGGAGACAGGGACCCCTTCTTCTCACCAGCAGCTTGTGGCCTCCGGTAGCACTTTGGCGCAGGCTTGCCCAAGGGCACTGGCGAGTGGGCAGAGCAAGGAGCCAGTGTGTCTGTCCTCAGCCTCCGAGGAGAGATTGTGCAGGCCCTGCCCCAGAGCTGCTCCTCGGTCCCCCACCTGTGGCTAGCCCCCACCCTGCCTTTGGATGTGAACCATCCCAGACTGCCCTGGCCTGAGGCATGGGACTATTCTGGGATATCTAGCTTAAAACTGGGATGATCTGGGCACACCAGGCCCTCACTCTCTCCCCCTCCAGCCCATCACGTTGACCATTTCTTCCCTATTTTAAAGGGTTTCTTTCTTAAAGGGTTTCTTTCTCTGTACCCCCATTCCCCCGACACTCCTGGGACCTCAAGGCCCTCTTCTCCTTGACCCTAGAGTGTGAGCAACAGCCGCCAGGAGCTGAATGGCAAAGACAGAGGGAGGGGACCGGGGGCAGCAGGGTCATGGGTCCTGTCCCTGCCCGGCCACTCTAGCAGGCACTTCTGCCCCATCTCCCCCTGTAGCAACCTCCTCCCTGGACTCCACAGCCACTGTGGCCCTGCTCAGCTGAAATGGGGGGGAGCCAAGTCCAGACCAGGCCTTGGAACACACTGGCTGCCTCTTCCAGGATGTCAGGTCGGACATCCTGCAGACCTGGGGACAGGAGGGGCTGGACAGTGTCCACTCCCACTGCTGTCACAGGCTTGGGGAAGCTGCGTGTGCTCTCTGCTCGCCACATCCCTGTGCAGCTCAGAACGGCAGCACTGGGCACTGAGAGCCATGGCAGGGCTCCGCCTCTCAGCCCTGCAGCCAGGCTACAGGCAGCAGATAAGAAAGGGGTAGCGGAGCCTGGGGAGACAGGTCCCTAGTTGCTCCAGGGCCCGAGAAGGTCCTCCTTCCATTCCACAGCTCAGCCTTCAGCGTTTTGTTTGCTGAGCGCCCACTGTGCGCTGGGAGCCGAGGGTAGAAAGGCAAACACGTCTTGACCTTGGAGCTGGGGGATCTCAGAGTTCAGAACGGGTCCTTTCATTGCCCAGTGGACAGGGGCCCTGAGGCTCTGGGGCTCCTCATTCAGCTTGAGGATTCTGGGAAAGTCTGGAAGAAATGAGACCTGGATGAATCTGGGCAAGAGTGACACAAGTGGGGACGGGCAGAGAGGGCATGCCCCGGGAGGGGGGAGCAGCAGGGCAGGCAGGGATGAGAGGCAGCGAGCAGTTGTCATTCCGGAAGCCAGGGTGCCAGCAGGGGGCGCAGGGGCGTGCCGGGGAGGAGCCGGAAGGAGTCCAGGATGGTGCATGGGGGAAGGACTCGGTTGCCCTTCTCTGGTCTGGGGACCTAGAAGCCAGGGCACCAGGATTGAGGGGAAACCAGTGAGTCCAAGTTGACAGTGCATATCCCAGCTGGGGCCTGTGCTGGGGGGTGGGGAGTGGGGAGGGAGGGGCCATAGTCCCCGCAGTATTTCAGGGAAGACAGGAGAGCTGTGGAAACCTGCTCTGGCCAACACGGGTAGGGGCAGGAGCAGCTGTAGGGGACTCCTGGGGTAGGCGGGCCCCCTTCAGAGCCTGCTCAGGGTCCCTTTGCCCTCTTTCTGATCTGGCTGCTGCAGGCCCGCAGGGAGAGGAGCAGACCCCGAACCCCCTGATGAGCAAGAAGCCCTCCTCATGTCTATCCTTGGTCCCCTTGCTGCTGCTTCACTCCTAGAATCAGCGTGTGTCCCTGTGTAGACTTCAGAGATCCTCATCCAGTTGATCTTTATCCAGAGGAAGAACTGGAGTCCATGTTCATACAGCTAGTGATGCCCGGAGTCTGCTGGGAGGAAGGGGGTGGAGACAAAGGCGGTGATGAAGTCAACAGAAAGCATTGTCTTCCTTTGTGCCCAAATTGGTTCTGC